TACAAATACACACATGTCACACATATATGTGTATATAGATAGATATATGTGTGCATATGCGCACCATGTACACACATGAGTACATGCATCTATTGGGAGTGGTGTAAATAAATGCTCAAACCATTGACAGTTCAAAGTTCAATGCATAAGCAACATAAGGCATAAGGACCTCAATTAGTATACACATGCACATGTATATCTGAACACATATATGTGATGTATGTATGTATGTATGTATCTATCTATCTATCTATCTTTCTATCTATCTATCTATGTATCTATGTATCTATGCTTGCATGATGCATGCGCGTATGTATATTATATATATTTATTTAAACATACATACATATATCCATAAATATATATATATATGTGTGTACCTATCTATGTAAATGATAAGTATGCATGTATACATATGATATGTAGAAAGACATGTTTGTATAAATATTCTACCATTAAATGTTATCTCACAGAAATCACAGAAATGGATTTTAAGTTTTGTTATTTTTAACAATCACTTATCCTTTCACAAGAGAGAGTGTGGTATGCACACTGGAAACCATCAGCAAACCGGATGTTTTTGTTTCAAATGAACTTGTTGACCAAGATCAAATGTGGGGGCTACTCAGTAGACAGCTTGGCCGTGACCCAAGTCTGGTTAAAACCGACTCTGCGGTGACTATCATCAGACAAGAGCTTCTAAAGCCAGGCGTCAAGAAGTGGATAAATGGAGAGGTTCAAGTGCACACTTTACGCACGTGCAGAGACTGGAAGGCGCACATTTTGGCCCATTCACCGGTACAGTTTGCGCACTGTCTATGTTTGGCAAGTTTTGGATTTTACTTACTTTACCTTTGGCTCCTACAAAGTTTTTGAGCACAAACATCATGATGGGGATGCCGCTGAGGAAGGTGGGCTCTTGCTGGACATGACAGCCAACCACTTCTATTTTTCTTGAGACGCAAAGGCTGGACAAGGAAATAATGGTTTTAGTTTTTTTGATGTGTCAAAGCCCATGTTGGTGGGCAAGTATATATTTATATAATATATATATGGGTTTAAAGTTCAAAACACCAAGTATAGGATGCCTTTTCATTTCAGCAACTTTGGGCAGATCTTCCAGACGTTGAGATTGATGAAAGCCGGCAGCGACACAGAGCAAAGCACGACCACGACACCTTTGTTATTGTGAAAGAGTATATCAGTTCCGCAGAATTCAAACAAAGACCAATGCTTTGTATGAAAGCTGAAGATGCTGCAGCCTTTCCTTTGGTTGCTCCGGGATAATCTGCCTGTTTCTTTCATTTTTTTACAGTATGTGTTTTTGCGGTTCTTCTCAAGTTTTACTTGTAGAACACGCTGGTAATGTTTCCCTTTGATTGCAAGGAATCATTGGCTTGCGCCCAGTTTCGGCAGACGCACGAACAAACTGGAGAACACTAGCCAGTGTGTTTCAGAATCTTCTAGGCGGCTCAGATGCAACACGACGGGCTAGCACTTACTTGAACCAATTGGCAAATGATTCGCTACCTCGAGAAGAGGTTGCTCCTCTTCCATGGCACCAGGAAAGACCTGAGCTTGATGTGGTTCCGGTGGCCTCCCCTGCTCCGCATGAGTGTGTGATAGCAGTTCTGACACCCTCTGTGCCTTTGAGGGTAGTATGGCGTCGCAATAGGCGCTAGAAAATGGAAAAGGCAGTTGAGACAAGCAAAGCTTGAGAAAAGGTGACTTCACAGTGACAAGCTTTAGGTTCTATGTATTTTTCCAATTGACTAGAACTTAAGTCTTCTTGAGATTGACACTGTACCCAGATAGAATCATCTCAGTTCAATTCATGACTCAAGACATCGCTGTTTAAGTTTTTGGCGTTGGAGCTACTCTGACTTTGAAGTTGCGTGGCGCAGCTCATGGCCAAGGTCAGCCTCTGGGAAGGTCAACAGCTTGAGGTGTGCCCAGCCACATTTAACGCTCATTTGCCAAAAAGAAGAGGTCCAGTCATTTCTGCGCTACGAATCTTTGATCTGACCCACACCGACTTCACAGGATAGTTACGCAGAAACTTTTCTCTGTAGGTGGGGGGGTCAACCACAAAGAAAATGATTGACGAAGGGGGGGTGACCCTGATTCTTAACTTTTTGAAAAAAATGAAAAATCAGGGTCACCCCCCCTGCGTCAATCATTATCCTTGTGGGTGGCCACCCCAACCGCACCGATTCTGGGAGATAGTTGCGCAGACATTTTTCTCCGTGGGTGGGATCAAACATTCGCATTGAAAGTCGGTGTGGGTGGGGGGTCGAACCACGCCGACTTTGGCCACCTACGCCGACTTTGGCCACCTACGCCGACTTTGGCCACCTACGCCGATTTTGGACCGCCGCTCAATCCTCAGCGGTTTTTGCTCAGAGAGTTTGAAGTTGCCATGGATTGGCCTTTGTTGAACAGTTGTGTGGCAGCTGCAAATGCTGCTTTGACAGCCAAGCCGGAGATCAAAAGTGAGCAGGGAAAGCCAGAGCTTAGCCCATCGAAAAAGGAAGAACCAGCCTCAGACGTCAAAGTCTTTTGGCTTGGTTAGTCCCACTTGTTGGGTTTGTGGATTGAAAAAACGTTTAAGGCTTACAAGGCTTACAAAGCAGCCACTCCCTCTCCGTATTGAAACATCTAAGGTGAAGAAAGAGCCTGCTGCAGACCCTGCTTCCAAGAAACGGAAGAGTGAATGGGCAGCAGGCTGCAAAAAGCTTGAGGGAGATTGCACTTTCGTGAAGGACAGGGCTGGTGAAATGATGCCGGGGTCCGAACACAGCCGGGGTCCGAACGCTCGTTTTGGTTTTCGCAATTTTTGATGGACAGGCAGCGCTGGACTACCTGTCGCTTTTTACCGACTTTTCGACCGTGTCTGATAGTTCTCCTCGGCGTCCATTAGAGATGGTGATGGATGCATTCCGGGATGAAGAATCCGCATCAGCAACTTGTCAAAGGTTGAGCGCTTTCATGGAAGATGCCTTCAAGATGCATGACAGGAAGTATGAAAAAGCAGTTCTGCCATTGGTGCCTTAGACAAACACAGCTGTTTTCTGATGTCTTTGTGATGCGCGGTTCCACACAAGAAAACAGTTCGGGCATTGTGTTACAACTCTGTACAACCTCCTGTTCATTCTTTCAAGGACTTACCAACCTTGGTGGCTACAGATCCCAAGCAGGTGTTCAAAGTACCTCTTGACTCAATCATCCTGCGACCCCCAGATGATGGCTTGCCAGTGGTGGATGATTTCATCACCGCTACAGTGTCCTTCTTGTTTTCCGGGTCAAGGCTCATCAGGGAGCCTTTGGACCTCAACCTTGAAACCGCTGTGATGCCTGATGGGAAAACATATGAGCCAGTGCTTTCTGTAAAGAAAGGCTTCACCAGATTGCAGCTAGTCCTTGCTGAGCATATGTGTTTTTGTTGTTTTGGTTTGGCTTCTGAGACTTGAAACATGTATGGGTCCCGGGGGGAGAAACAATATTACTAAGGACCGCAGGCCTCTTCTTGCTCCTGCTGGTGTCAGACGTGGATCCAGTTCTGGGGAAGGACTCCTTGTCCAACATGTTGGTTTGTTCATGACCTGAAAAATGAAACATCCAGGACTTGATTTTGCCATTGTTGCCAGCCATTGGTGACATGTGGGCACTACCACGCACACTTTCTACAGGGATGGACCGGGAAAGCAAATCCTTCGAGAACATGCAGCTCAGTAGTCAAGGTGCTGAACGACAGAAAAAATGTAACCTTGATTCAACTGATCAATCTTTCATGTATGTTGTATGATTGTTTGTGTCACATTTTGTGTTTTTGATTGTTTCGATTATTTGGTGGGCCTCTCACTGGGACAAGTTTCAAGACCCATCCGAGGCTCTTCAGATGAGTTTACGTTTCGAGATGCTGATGTCAGAGTACAGGAGAACTTCTACAAACAGTGACCTAAGTGACGTTGACCTGCTGCACAGCTTGATGGACAGATACAACAACTACAAAAGCAACACTGCCATCAGGAAATGGCAGCTGTCTGATGATATGAAGAGAAGTATTGGGAATCGTGATTGGCATGACTCCAGACAGCCGCGCCCTGGTGCGGATGCACTTGGACTTTAACAAATGGGAAGAGAGCGGCCCCTTGTTCATGTCTAACACCTTTTTTGGCCTTCTATGTTGGGTTTCTTTTAGTGTCTGGCTGCCCATGTGTTTGTTCAATGTTTTTTAAATCCTTCCACCAGAGGATACAGTGAATCCATCTTGAAGTCCAAAAGGCATCAGCTCAACGAGACCACCAAGGCTGTATCACACCTGTGGCAAAAGATCTTGACGGTCCCTGCGATTCACTTTGAACACCTTCTTAGTTTATCTTGTTTTGGTAATGTGAATGGACTGCGCACAATATTGAGCATTGTTACCCCTACACATCACCAAGAGTTGTTTTCAAAAACCAATGGAAACCCTTGATTTGAGGTGACACCAGCTTCGCAGAGATTACACTTTGAAAAATACAACCTGTGGTGGGGGATCAACGCCAAGAAAATGAAGCGGTCGGTACGTGCAAGGCTACGTTGGAATGAGGAGAACTGGTCCAAGAACGTGGAGCACTGTTGCCTCTGCATGTGGATGCTAGAAGAAGCAATGAAGCAAGCAGGAGTCTGTACCTAAGTTAAAGTTTTCAAGGAAGCACCGTGTTTAGTGTTTGAAGTCCTCGTTCCTGATCCTTTGTTGGCCTGAACCCTTGGAATAAGGTTACGGATGAGATGCTTGAGCGCATGATTGACACCTTCAGGAATGGGTTTCTCACCTGACTCCAAGGATTTGAATATTTTTTGATTTTTGTTCACGATGGTGATGTGCCCAAAGACTTTTGTATTGCAGTTGTTCAATCAATCCTTACCCCGCAAAAAAAATGATGTACTAACCGAGGGACTACTCACAAGATTTCGATGCATTGCTGTTGAGCAAGCCGGAGGGGATCAAGTGTGAGATGAGCCAAATGTGGCAGGATGTTGTGGGGCGTGCGTTGCTTCGTCAGGGGGGGTCAGATCCCATGCAGGTGGATGATGGAGCAGTGGATGAAGCTGAAGATTCTAGCCATCCTTTTTTATGTGTGTGTGTCATATATTTTTTGGGATAGTACTTATATAACTATATGACTAACATTAATATCAACTTTCTCCACAGCTAGAACACATGCAAGGAAAAGCTTAGCCAGGCAAAGTATGCTGTGGATTGTGCGAACTTGAGTGCTGATTACAGAGCAGCGGTTGGCTACAATTTGAGGAAGAACAAGCTGGAATCAAATCAGCACGTTGCGAAGGTTTGGGGTTTGTTTTGTTAAAGAAACAACATTTTTTGGGGGGAATCAAACAGACAAGAATCTCTGACTTCTAGGGGTGAAATTATGCACCCGCAGGTTCTGCACATGAAGAATCAGATTGATGTGGGCTTGGGAGTGTGCGAGCGCCTGATGGAGCGACGACTCTTTGTTGTGTGCGGACCCCAAGGCCAGAATGTTGCACAACTACAGCGGAAAGTGTTACAGGATTCTTCCCAGAAGGGCTTTGACAGCACGACTCTCGAGAAGATGCACCATCTGGGCATCATCGACATCCCCAAGATGGGCCGTTTGACAGCGCCTGATGTGCAAGATATTTCCGATTGGACCTACAAAGTCTTGGCGCTCAACCCCAACTACAGCCGCTGAGCTGCGCAAGAAGATTTCGTTGTTGTCCCCATGGAACAATAAAAGGTTGAACCTTTACCCACGCATACTGACAGATTTATCTGTTTCACCCACTTATGGCAAATCAGGCTGTGTCTTCATGATTGCACCTTTGCTTGCAGGGGAGGGCACCCTTGGCGGTTTGAGGGGCGAGTACAGGAGCTTTGGGCTTACAACTGCATATTGTTTTTATTTTTTATTTATATATATATAGTTGTATATATCTATTGAAGATAAAACATGGGTTGTGGCTGACCCTCTTGAGGAGGTTGGAGGACAAGCTTTGCAGCAACAATATGGAGATGAAGACAGTTCAGGTCACCTTCAGCATTGACCAATTGCACGGGAACAGGAGATTCTCAACTATTTCTCGGTTTCACATGGTGTCTCTATTTTTGCCCCTGTTGAGGACATTCCCTCAGAGCATTCCTGCCTTCATGGTTTGCATGGACAGCACCCTCGGAGCAAAGCAAGGAACCTTGTTCCGTGCACCACGCAATTCCGACCGCCCTGCAGCACATGATAATGTTTGGACACGCTCAGACTACTGGAACCTCTTGGCCAACAAGCCGAGCACTCCCATGAACATAAGCTACTCACCAGCAAACATGACTTATATGCTACTACTATGATGTTTTCACTTTTAAAAGTTAACAATCATTTGCTGTTGTTTTGGCACTTTCACTTCACAGAAAGCAGGTGACTACATGACGCCGGAAAGCACATCAATGTTTTCGCATGAGCAGGGTCGTTCCCTCACAGATCCCTGACCCAAGAATTTCAGAACTGTTTTTGTTGCGCAGCCTCCTGTCAGCATACATTTGTTGAATAGAAACAAAGAACATTCAAAGAAGAGGACATTCAAAACAAAGCAACCAGTCCAACCGCGTGCAAAGGACAAAGAAGAGACTGCTCAGTGGTGCAGTGGACCATCCACTGTGAAGAGCATTTTGGAGAGTTGTTTGTCTAGGATGACAAGCCTGAAAGGGCAATGCCTGATTGTGCACCACAAGACGCTTTATGATGGAAACCTGGAGCAGGCGTTTTGACAAGTTCAGTTCTTTTTGGTGTGGTTTTGTTTCACTGCATTGTTTGTTTTCTGAGAAAAGTTCTTGGCCATGCTGGGAATTGCTTCGATCAAAGGTCCTCTACGAGATGATGGGCGACCTCTCGCAGGATTGTTACATTGCAGGATGCAGTGAGACGACCAATCCGACCGTGTTTCAATTTGCCAGCACGCAAATTAAAGATCGTCTGTTGGAGGCTGGGGAATGTAGCAGAATCCATGATCAAGTGTTCAACCATAATGTTGCAACTTTATTTTTACTATGTTACTATATGTTACTTTAGCCTGTAGGATTGGAAGAGTGGTTCTGGAACCATTGGGCATTGGCAGCCGAAGTTCAACCCGGACCCAGACATGAGCAATCTTCTTCAGCCACAAGTCCCAAGCATGAAGTTGCGCCGACTGGTGAACGGTCATCCGTCGATACCAGATGAGATTCGCCAGAAGTGGTTGGCAGACCCAGTGCGGAGACACTTGCTTACACTTTGCTTTCTCCTTTATGTTGCATAGCTTATACTTTGGTTTCTGTGGCCATTATTAAATCTGCCATACATTGTATGTTTTCTTTGGCTGTTCTGTGAATTAAAATCATGATTGCATAATGCCTTTACCACTGAGATCCGGATTGGAGAACTTCGACGCAGTGTTCAGTCCAGTGGCAGATAGCACCCAAGCACCGAGACCTAGCCCAGCACCGAACGCAGAGGATGTAGACCTTGGGTCTGTGCAGCCAAAGGTTGAAGAGGTGGTTGAGCCCAAGGAAACGCCCCCTTCCATGAGCTTGGAGGAATTCAAGAAGAAACATCCTACAGTGACTGCGACCGTGGCACTCAACCTTGGGATTGCCCCATGACCTGCTACCTGGTCGAGAATCAAGTTTTCCTATGTGCAGCTACCAAGCACAAAGCACTTGGAGCCCATTGCTCAGAAGCACGCCCACTTCTTCTCTATGCTGGTGGTTCATGGGTGAGTGATTCAGGGAAGGAGTGGTTGGTACCAAAATGTTTGAGAAATTTGTTGAATCATCTACTTGGAACGTTATGTTGCATTTTGGCTAAATGTTTGGCAGGCACAGGACTACTTGACGAAGAATGAAAACAAGGCAGTTGAGTTCAGGATCCACAATCAGTCCCAGATCGTTCCTGAGATGTGTATGAAATATTTTGCAATGTTGTTTTTGTTTGGGGTTCCGTTTTTGTGGTTGCTTTTTTGGGCTGATTCAATTCAGGTTGTCTTTGAAGAGCAGTCTGCTGAGAAAGGAGTTCCCTCAGACTCAGCGCCTATGCCCATCAAGAATTTGTTGATCCAAATGGAGAAGCGAGGCTTCATGGACACAGTCGTGACGGCGCATAAGGTCGAGCGTCCAGCAGCAGTCATGCGAGGCGAAGAATCTGACAGGTCGGGTTGATCAAACAAATATGATTAGGTGTGTTCTTTTGGATTAGTATTGAATCGCCCTTGAAGGTTCAACATCGAACACCAGTCATATTGCGTGTACAAGCCGAACAATGTGGCCATCGCCAAAGCAAAGGCTGGCAATCTGGCAGGTCTTGTGGGGTACAAAGCGTTGGAATCATCCAAACACCTGACCCTTGTGTGGAGAAACTGGGACTCACATGGTTTTGATTTATTTGCATGTTGCCCTTTGTTTTTAAATCTTGTTGAACCTAGCCAGGGCGTAACACAAAAGTGACTTGACCAGTTCTGAGTTTTGCCAAGGGATGAGGCACTACAGCAAGGATAAGACCCTAGGCCCTGCGAAGCCTATGTGGTATTTGGCAAATTCCTTCGACATGGAACCGAACACCTGCTACAAGATCGTGTGAGAGGCCAGGTAGTCTTTTGAGCTTTCATGCAACAGCTACTCGCTTGGCAGCAAAAAAATGGTTACATTTTGGCGACAACTTCACAGGACAGGCAAGAGACCTTTAAGATCCTTTAAGAATGTTTTTGTTGAAATCCTTGGTTTCTTGGTGAGTGTGCTTGGCTTTTGATTGCTTTTATTCTCTCAAGTGCCCCTTACTGTTTGTTGTGCTTTTGTCGTGCTTTTATCGTGCCTTCGATGCCGGTCCCCATCATCTTGGACAATGAGACCAATGAGGTCCTGGTGAAGAAGCACATGCAGACAGTTTTGCCGAGTTCATCCGCAGCTACTCCGATCAGGCTCTTTCAATCATCTCTCGCAGTGCCAGCGCCTACAGGTAAGCCTGCGGCAGCTACTGGTGGTGATCCAGTGCCAAAGTTGCAAAGGCTCAAGCCCTTTGAGTTCCAGGTTGGATCTGACTTGGAGCGCTTCATGGCAACTGGTGCGAAGCCGGTTGAGCCCTCTATGGAAGTCTTTTGGACAGCAATTGAACTATGACCTTGTGCTTGTTCTCCAAACACCAACAAACATGGATTGAGGTTTGCACACTTCAACAACTTACCCTTTTTTTCTGCAGGTAGAGAATGTGGCCAGACCTTTGCGCTCTGATGCAGCATCCGTGCGATCTGTGTCAACAGATCCTTATGAAGATTACCGGAGTCAGCCATATGAATTCTTCAAGGATGCAGATCCTGAAGATTTTCTATATCCATATGCGAGGAAGGGGTGTTTCATTCAGCTTCATGAAGGTCACGACTCAGATCAAGTTCCAACAAGCCCGGAGCCTGATAAGGTTCAGAAGACTTCCCCGGAGTCCGCCAAGGTTTCGAAGAGTGACCTTGAGGCCCTGGAGAAGAAGTCCGATCTCTTTGCCATTCACAAGAAAGAGGATGAAGTTGGGAAGGAGGCGGAGCCCCAACACAAAGTTATTGCCAAGTTTGTTTTGGACCCAACCAAGCCTCGCCCCAAAAAAACGCGGTGGAACGGAGTGTGTGGTTTTGTGGGTGGGTATATTGACCCTTACAGTGATGCTGAGCCAGTTCGCTTTGAAACGTTGGTTGAAATCGATGTAATTTGATGTAATTTGTCTAATTTGGTCACTCTCTCTGTGTTGTTGGTGTGGTTTTTCCTATGGTGACTCATTTGTCTCAAGGAAAGCCCTCGCCCTTGTTCTGAAGTCAGCAACGTTCCGGAAGAGAGCGGCCCTGGACCTACACCCCCTTCCAAGCGTCGTTGCTTACAAGATGGTCCGGCGACGGTGTCCCCGGAAGAGATTGAGAAGGCAAAGGATGTCCAAATGGTGTCAATTTTTGAAAACAACATTTTGAAAACCTTCTCATCCGCGTTTCATCATCAGGATGAGCCCGTTGATGAGAGTGATAAAGGATGGAAGTACAAGGGTGTGAGAATCAGCGAAGACACCAGCCCTACAACGAAGCAAGCTATTCTTGATGAGCGTAAGGAACGTCACAGGTACAACTCCAGGGCGTGGCATTCCAGCTTTGCGCAGAAGGGTGTGTCCCGCCTCAGTTTTTTAATGTTTTGTGCGTGTGTGGGGGGGGGGGGGGGGGAGTATTTGATGATGACAACTGTTCCTGACATCCTCCATATTGAAATTTTACAGAGGTAAAGCGGCCTTCACCGTCCTCGAGCTCTAAGCCTGATGATACAGCCCATCCTGAACCTGAACCAGTTCCTTCACACATCGCTCCTGAGCCTTCCCAGCCTTTGCCTCCTTCATCAGCTCCTTCATTGAGACAGCGAAAACATGAAGCGCGCTGGGCGTTCGTTTCTTGATGGATGGATTATCTTACATATATATAATATATGATATGTATTTTTTATGGTTTGGTTATGTTTGTTCCCCTTCTGCAATAGATTTTTGGTTTAAATTACGCAATTCTGTTGTCCCTTCTGTGATGAACTTGTGTAGACTCACCATCCCTTTGTTTTAGGTGAGGGAAGCTATGGCACAGGGCAATGACATGAAGGAAGCTCATGCTATGTGGATGACGTCTCATGAGCGGGCAGCGTTTGAAGCCGGCAGTCAAGGGATTCAGAAGTAGCTAGGATCAAGTTGTTTGTGTTTACTTGCAAGTGGAAGGTCTTAGGAAAAACATATATATATATGTATACCACACTGCCATGATTCAGCTCCGATCGAGGGGATCCCACTTTAGTGGCGATTGGAGGAAAAACAAATCAGCTGGGAAAGGGTAAACACTGGGATGGTTTTTCGTTCAACAATTCTCATTTTGATGTCGCTGAACGGTTTCCTTTCTTGCAACGCAACTGTGCCAGGTCATTTTTGCTGAGTGGCAGCTGTTACAGTAGCCAAAGACAAATTACTGTAGTTATTTCCTCAGTAACGTTTTGTTGTGCCCTTTCATCTGTTGCGCAACTTAAAAACAGCCTTGTGGAAATACCTGCGTTCGAGAATGCACGTCGTCTCATAGTTTAGGAGGGAAGCACGCCAAAGTGTTTCAATGTGATGTGTTGTTTTCTCTGGTTGACAAAACATGATCAGGCTCCCTCCAGCTAATTGCAGTTGCGAAAGGTGAGTGCGTGTGTGGTGCACACATTGGCCCTCACCAGCTTTCACGTACTCTGAGGCAGCTGTGAGAGAGTGTTTCCCTTTACTGTGACATATAGGATGTGCAATGTGGTAAAATGCGCCTGAGACAGTGACGCGTTCATATATGCACATGATATTTGTCCAAGTATTTGTGTGTTTGTGTGAGAGGCAGGAATTACAGTATTTATGAAAAGCCAGAGGAAACAACTTCCGAGTTACTGGCTCAAGAAACTTCGAGTGTCCCCACCCACCAGAGTACAAAACAAGGCCCTCTGGCACAGCCACTTCTTCCACACAACGACCAAGTATATCATATCACTGTCAATGATTTTTTGCTATGTTTGGGTCTTGGTAGCTGAGCATGTTATCCCCTCCATTGACAGCTGATCAATCTAAATTGACAGCTAGTTGCCACGAAATTGGCTTTGGTGAAGTTGCATGACAGCTTCTGGGAGAACTATGTCCTTCGAGCTTGGAAGACAACTCCAGAAGGAAATCCAGTCAGGTTCACCTACGAGACGAAGAACTTTGTTGATGGACAGTTGATGTGGAACTTGAACTGGTGGCCTCTTCGTTCCACCCTCATCCGGAAAGAAGATGACACTTGGGAAGTAGTTGAACATTGCAACCGCTATGTCCAGGATGAGCCAGACGGTGAGATCCCGGAGTGTGGAGGAGAGACAACGCAGACTCTCACTGTGCTTCATCGAAAGAAAGAGCCCATTAGCTTCTTTGGCAGCTTGATTGGAGAGCAGACCGTGACCGCAGGTGGAGCACAGATTGAAGAGGATAGCTTTCAATTTGCAGCAGAACCTTCAGTGCCACTTGAGCTCAACCCTCATCATGAAAAGATTCCAGAAGAAGTTGATCAACAAGATCATGGTGAGCTCTGGGAAGGACCTTTACCTTTCTTTGAGAAGAGAGGTTCTGGTGGTGAATGGCGCTGAGCTGCGTGAGACAAGTTCCTTGTCAGTGTTGCGTGAAGCTGCAGAGTTCTTAGGCATTGGACGTGGTGGCTCAAAGCAATCCCTTTGGACGAGGTTGAATCAACAAGTTCAGAAACTTGAGAACCAAGAACTCTTCCTGATTGCCAACAAGTTGTACAAAGAAGAAAGCCATCATCGAGGACTTAGGTCTTTGCAGGTTCCACGACAACCTTCTGAAGAAGAAAGACAACTGCGCAACCTGACCCATGTTCCTTTCAGGGCATGGTGTGACTTTTGTGTGGCTTGTAAGAGCAGAGATGATGCTCAACGACCCCTTGATCGAGGAGAAGATGAAGGAAGAAGATCGGTTCCAGCGATCCAGTTGGACTATGCCTTTGGACGCTCAAGGCAAGAGGAGAAGACTCCCCCAGAAGATCTTGTGACCATTTTGGTCGGAGTAGATGCAGAGACAAGAATGATGCTTGCAGTTCCAGTCGAAGGAAAAGGTGATGACCTCCGAAACCAAGCAGAGCATGTCGTGCGCTTTAGCCTTTCCTTGAACCAGTATGGCAATGTGGAGATGATTGGTGATAGTGAGCCAACAATGAAAGCTTTGCTAAGCTATGTGAAAACCCTGCGCCAAGGACTGGGTCTCGAGACAACTATCACCTTCAGCGCGAGGAAAGGCCAGACAAGTCGAGTTGAGAGAGGCATCCAAACTTTGAGGCGACAAGCAACGACCTTAATGGAAATGCTGCAGGACCAATGCAAAATCAACCTGGCAGGTAACCATCCTCTTTGGCAATGGGCCTATTTGCACGCGGCTTGGATCTTGAACAGATTTGCATCCCACTGAGCAATTCAAGCTTCACCCTATGAAGTTGCTTTTGGAAGACGATACTGTGGGAAGGTCGTTTGCTTTGGAGAGTATGTCATGATCCTCAATCGACAACCTGGTGCAAAGCAAGGTCCACAATGGTTGCCTGGAGTGTGGGTTGGAAAGACACATGAAGATGACCTTCACCTGGTTGTGGGGCACAATG